GGACAGTGACGTCACGAGCAGCATGGCGGCTAGCGTTTTCACGCGAAATGTTAAATCAATAGATTAAAAGTAATTTTTAGGGCACTATTCGATTTAAAAAGTATATAAAAATTATACTGGTTCATCACTCTGATTATTTTAAAACACTTTTTTGAAAATGGGTGTAATACCCTATTAACGAATAATAAGCAGAATTCACATTAATAAACTTAAGCGCACAAATATCCATGATATTTTGTTTTATACACACTTTTTTGCGTTCTTCTAAATTTTATTTTGTTATCATCATCATCATCATCATTACAACCCTTCACAAGTCCACTGCTGAACATAGACCTCCGTGAACCACAAAGATATTTCACAACCCACATCCATCGACTTCCTGCATGTCTTACCAGGTTGTCACTCTAGTTTCTCAAGTGGTAGCCTCGTGCCGGTAGACGAAGTGTAGGGCGGCCCCCACTGGATGGAGTGATGAGTATATTATAAATAGATATAAATTACTGTCTAGTTTTTGGATGTTGAAGTTAGTTGTGATTTTTACCTTGTCTTGGACACTACATCCGATTCTTTGTTAGATGTTATTACGTAGGTGTTAAGCAATGACACTGTTTATAAAATACTGATGACATCATAATACATATATAATATATTTTGTTATCATTATCCAACGATACAATGCGGCAGTATAGTCGCGGTGTGAAGATCCACTAGAAATCAAGGGTACAGAACTATCCGCCGCGCTGCCCCAATGCGTGTGACTTCACAAGTCTTCTGAGTATTTTTATATTTCTCAAACATGCGGGATTTTTACGATGTTTTTATTCACCGCCGTTCACTTGGTAAATGAAGACACTGTATTACCTAATAATATTATTTATTGTATGTAACTGTAACTATACTCCCAACATAGAATAATTATTTACTATTATAATTAAAAATATAATGAACTTTTATTTAAGTAACGTCCTGAAACGACTATGGGCCTTTGAAAGTAAAATCGTGGTTTCAATCACTCATTTCATTCATGCCGTAATGATAAATATTTTCTTGGACACGTGGACAATTTTAAATTACCATTTGACTGTTACCGTTACAGCCTATCAAAATTTCTAATTCCAACATCACATTCACCATCGCATATCGCGACAAAACTCGCGATTTCGATACCATCTGGACGCTTGGCGATCCACCACCGTGCGATTTACAAAAACTTTTCTTCCTCGCGAAATTTCCTTGTCGAAATCGACTACCACTAACAGTTTTTTCGAGCCGACTTGGGGACCTTCAAGAAAAATCCCACTCTTTTTAAAAGGCCGACAATGTATGTGCAATTACCCTGGTGTTTCAGGTGTTCATGGACGGCGGTGGTCACTTACCATCAGGTGTATGTTCTTATATAACAAAAGTTTATCTTTCCTACAGATCGCTTCATATTCCGCTTAGTGGCCACGCTGGGCAGGCGAGTGGACAACCTCAGTTCCTTAGGATTTTTTTTCACACATCGTAAGATAAATTATATTTATTTAGGTAACTTAATTTAGGAATACTAAATAATGAAAACAAAATACAAATAGGTAACACATAAAAAGTTGCACTGAAATACTTGCGTTTATGGTGTTTGAGATTGCCGCCAGATCCCTTTGAATTCCTTAGAGCGACAGCGTGAGTCCGAAACAGGTTATATAAGGCAGCATCTTTCTGATAACAACTCGAAATAAATAACAATAGATAAATTTGCTGTGAGATAATCTGTGGAGAAAGCTTATGTTCAGCTCAGTTCACGGACCTTGACTGTTTGTAATAATGATGAAAGTTTGAAACTTTTATTTACTCCTTACATATATAGTGGCAATATTTATTTCCCTAATGAGAAGTCATCGTTCGAAGTTGGGAAAACCATTTTAATATTATATAAATATTATAATATATAAAATAAACCTATATAATGATATAAAATTATAAATATTGGATACTTCATTGGATCACTTATAAATATTGGATGTTACTACCCTTAATATTTTGTGCATGTGGTGTTTACCTTAATTAATTTTGCATTTGGCTGTACATGTTATTGTTAAATACTCATTGATGTATTATTGTTACAATTACTGGTAAACCTAATAAATAAAATAAAATAAAATAAAAATTACTCCAAAACAAGTATTGCGTTGAACTTTATGATACTACTATTTTATTTCTTATATATTTGCATTGGAGTCTATTACTCCTCTCTCTCTCTCTCTCTCTCTCTCTCTCTCTCTCTCTCTCTCTCAATATATGTTTGTAAATCCGGTTTTACGATAGATTTTGACTTCAAAAAAGGGTTCAAAAAGTAAAAGGAAAACTAAAAGTACATAAGGTTACGTACACAGTAGGTATATAAGGCCTTAGAAGTATATGATATTGATTTATAAAAAATAAGAAGGCAATTCGACAGTAACATATGCATAGAGCCTTACTTTACTCACTTGTTCTGTATAAACAAAACATACAAAGCGTTAGCATTAGTTCATCGATAGGTTCGCCTTGACTTAGATGATTTTTCAATTATTATAAGAAAACTTCACTATCTTTTTTTTTTAATAATATAAAAATTGCATCTTCGAAAATTTATCTCTAAAATACTGAAACATACTCGCATGTAATCGTTATTAAACAAAAGAGCAGCGATCATTTATCTAAAGTAACACATCCATCAAAATGCGTACCGAATCTGTAAGCACCTTACTTGTTTCCAGTATCTTTCTTTCCATAAAATGTAGCATACATTTTATACACGAAAAATTTATTCAACTACTAAAGCAATCGGGTAAACCATTATTATGCTGATGACTTCGATACGTGGCGATTTTCTAATTTACATGGTTTTTACCAATATACAATATCTGTAGTGTTCTTATGATCCGTTCATCATCATTTAGTTGGTTGTGTTAAAAAAATTATTAGGTAGGTGCACTCTTTGGCAGGAATCAAAAGAGTTATCCGACGGCTTGAATCGTAACTTATGAGAAGCTAATTTATACTGACATTGAAAATTTTATTAGATTATGTATAGAATATTAATATCTAATTACTGTTTCCCATGCGGAAGTTGTTATAATGGGCCTCAGTTTAGTCAAAATGTCAAAAGTCTAAATTTCAATTTATCTCCCACATTTTAAACGTATTTAGAATACAATTCGTGAATATCTATTATATAGTTAGTGAACTTCGTGTGGCATGTATCGAGAATAAAATATAGTGGTGATATCTTTTCATAAGTTATATATTTCAACGTTTTTTAACTTGATTTGTTTTTAAACAAAACTACCTTTACGTAAATTTCAGCATCCACTGTTAAGGGCGGAGGAGGCTATTTGACGCCATTATGTCTTAATTAACCCGGATATCTTCAGCTTTTAAGCTAAAAAATAAAATCCATTTCGGAATTAAATCCGAAAAAAAAAAGTTTTAACCAATGTGCAGTGTTCACGTTAATAAAAAATCAATCAATTAATTGATCTGTTAATACGATATATACTTCAAATATTAAAAAGGTAAGGCATAAATAATACGATGATTGGAAATAGATTAACATGGATTTATTTAGTTTACCAAATGTGTTTCGTGATAGTGCCGCATACATTCTAACAAATCGGTGTTCACAAACATTTCTCAAACATTAACATAACTTTTTCTTAAATACAACAAGCGCAAACTTCAATTTACAAAACATTCCAACTTTGTACAGAACAGAATTCATTTCTTAGAGGTACAGCAAAATACAACTCAAGACGAGGACAATTTCACACTGTTAGCACCATATCAGACATTATTGATATCACAAAACAATACGATAAAAATCCCCAAACAGTCCATTAATTTCAATAAATAAAGTAATGCAACACTGTCACGTGTCATAAATAAAATCAAATTGTTACATATTAACCCCAGAAACGTTTTAAGATTAAAGTTATTATGGCGTGAAAGTTTTCATAGTGTTAATTAGCTATTGAAACTGAGACAAAATTAAGGTCTTATTTTAAGCTATTATTTACAGAATATTTACGAACTACAAATAATCTCATTCAACACAGTAATAAATATTAATAATTTCTCAAACCTACGATGCTTGAAGTAAACTTATTTCACTGGGATTCAACATTGTGTATAAGTATACAATTTAAATGAGATTCGTGACTAAATCTTAACTAAGTATATTATATAAAATCAGCGCATTAACAAAAGAAAACTGAGTATGAGTAATTACAAAATGAAATAATTTTATAATACAAAATAATTTTTACAAATTGTACGATCTATTTTATTAAAAAATAAAATGACTATACAAGGAGTCTCACTAATTGAATTTATTAATCTCATCGTCAGCAGTCGCAGATTTAAGAAACATTAATTAACTTAAAATAAAAACAAATTTGAATAATACTTATGTATTATATTTATTATATAAAAATATAGTTATCTATATTTACAGTGACAAAATCATTTATACTATTATCCTTTACTTCACGGGGCAAATAATTATTTATGATCAATCAAGCCGTAAAACGCTGACTACCTCTACGTTCGCACAAGATCGTAAAGTAAATAACAAACATTTTATAGTTCATAGCTCTAATTCAGGGACTTTATTCGCTATATATTTTTTATAATTGCTTGAGTTTCGTATAAATATTAAGATTGAAGTGTGTTATAAACGAATAAAGCCTGAGAATTAAAGACGCTGAAGGTATATTTACCATTAGATGACAACTGAATGAAAGTGATTAGCCATAAGTATACTTAGACAATACGGCTACTACTTCGCACGTAACGAACGCTAATTTACCCATATATTCCCGTAAGAATATTGCACTAATTTTATCACATATTTATACAAAGATCAAATCGAGTAAATGTAAAGTCAGGAAAGTTCACACGCCCAGGTTGTTCATTTCAGTCACTAGGTGTCACTATCCGTAGGTGTCACTGTGAGCACAAAAGTCCTGTTGTTGCGGTCACAGCAGTGGTACCGGGGGCACACCGGGTACCAGCGGCTCTGGCACGCCCTGTAATACGCCTTGGTGGTAATGGTGGTGATGCATCATGCCGTTCATCATTTGCTGGTGGTGAAGCATAGTGGCGTGATGTAATTGCGCGTGTTGCAGTGAAGTATGGTCTCCCTTATCCTTCATCACGACCTCTTCACGCTTCTTTACCTGTTTACGTTCTTTAGCGCGTCGATTTTGGAACCATATTTTTACCTGTAGCCAAATATTTTATTGTTATAATTTGTGTATATTATGTAATACTGATATACGTTATGTACCTAAGACTGATTAGTACTTTATTAATATTTGACAAAATGGTCTATTCAATATTCCATATATTCATATTCGTCGGCCTAATTCATTAACCTGCTAAGTTTAAAATTAATACGTTGTAGAGCCATGCTGCAGTTATATTAGCAATATAATTGTAGCATATATGCTATGGACCACGGTGGTCCTTCCCTGCTCGACCAGACGCTCTCACAGAATATCAGCGTAAAATAGTAGCTTAATGCTGTTGTGTTTCGTATGCTGAGTCTAGAGAACCGGAGACCCTTTTTACTGGAAACGAGGCATTCCATCTTAGTCCTCACGGGTGACAACGCATCTGCATTTTGATTTTTAATCGAGGTTTGTAATGAAATGTAGATGTCTATGGACCCCAGCAACCACTTACCATCAGGTGGACTGTGTGCTAGTTTGTTACCCTATCCTATAAAAAGTCAATTTTTTCATAGTTTACAGGAGTTTCTAGAAATATATTTAAATATCTTGATATTTTAAAAATATTATTAGTAGCATAACATATACACATTTTATAAAATTCAGCAAAAACATTATTTAGCATTTTTTAGTGGTGAAATTTCAATTTGCTTAAGGATTTAGCAGTTTTTGACTTATATTTAGTATGGTGTACAGATTTATTAATTGTGCAGTGAAACGAATTCAATCAGTACTTAAAATATTTATTATATATTAAAAAAATAAATAATCAGTTTTCTTTAATAGGAAAGAGGGTTATAATATCTAAGATAGACTCTTTTCATAAACGATCTGTGATAGTTTCAATACGCTGAATAAAACTAAATTTACGGATTTTATCGCGTTTATTTTACTTATTTTAAATTCCCGACGTTTCGAGTGCTTTACAGCAACCATGGTCACGGGGGGGGGGACTGAGATGTTTGACGTCCCAATGTCATAGTCCGGCTACCTTCAGTTTAATTGAATATTAAATTTTGGTCCGATTCAAACATCTCAGTCCCCCCCGTGACCATGGTTGCTGTAAAGCACCCGAAACGTCGGGAATTAAAAATAAGTAAAATAAACGCGATAAAATCCGTAAATTTAGTTTTATTCAATGTGTAGTGTTCGCGTAAATTTAAGAAATCATTAAGTTTCAATACGCGTTATTTTGTGTTGGTTTTGTGGTATTGCGAGTTGTACATCGTATTAGTATTTTCTTATTATTAAATGACAGCCATTTAATATTGTTTTACTATAAGTACCACAATCTATTGTTATTAACAATAAATTGAAATAGAAACAATTTCCCAAAAATCTTAAATTAACAATATTTAAAGATCAATCTGAAACTTTGGTAAAATGTAAAGTTTATAATTAAACTTAAATCCTACTTATTGGCACTCATGGGGCAAGTCATCATAATATTTATGATAGTTAGTTTTTTAAAGTTATATATTAGTTTTATAAAGAATTGATCCATTGCCTTTGTAACGTAGTGCATAAATGTCAGTCACCTTAATATCCCCTTTAAATCTTCCTGGGCGAATACTTTTACAAAACTAAATTTTGTGCATTTTTGAAGTGTGGTCCAAATACGTTACAGAATAGGATAATGGGCATTTATGAGCATTGTTCAACTGCCACATTTATGACTTTGTTCTTCGGTTTACGTTCTATAGTGGAATGCATCGAATCGGCCTGCATTTGGGTGTGACCCTCCTCTAAAAATTTGTTTGATAGCTATATTCTTGTACCTCATGACAATATTCAAAAGAGTGTTAAATTAAATACAATTTCTATTTTAGTAAGTGCAACCGTCGCTGTAAATTATAATTGATTTTTTCCCATCTTCAGCATTAAATTCAGGTCGTTTTATTTTTTTATCTAAAAAGTGAACCCAAATGGAGGAAAATTCTTCAGCATTAAGTCCACCTTCTACTTCATTCCATATGAAACAGAAGCCATCTTTTACTATTTATATTAAAAAAGCAATGGTTGTGAACTTGTAGCTTCGTTTTATAGTATAGCGTACTGACATTCGATTTTAGTGCCATTACAGCCTATGAGTCTGTGAAAACGTAGTTTTCTCCCTTCTTACCCGCATCTATTTCTTCTCTTGCGTGTTTACTTCTTTACGTTTTTATCTTCTGTAACTGTTCCTACTTTATAACAGGCACATTTTTCGCATTGATCTTTTTTCGGCTTAAATAATGTCAAGTTTTTGTCTTCAAATATATTCGAAAATAAATTTACGAAGGAAGTTATTGTATTTCGCTCTTTGCACCAATCATTAACGTAAAATTGGTGGAGGTTTTCTTTAGAAACCCATTCTGGCAATAAATATAACTTCTGTGACGTTGCTCGATAATAATGAAATTCCATTACGGAAAGAGACTCCGGAAACTGAATAAGTGATTGTTTCGTCTTCAAAGGAGATTTAGATAATTGTGTTGGACGTCTCACTAAAAGAGCAGGCCGCATTGAAAACTTCTGATACCAATTTTGAACCAATATCTTTCAAAATACTTTGATCATATACTTGTAAATGATAAACAAAGGTGCTAGCCCACTTGGTTGTCTTTTCGGTATTTCGATTTAGTGGCCGAACAACCAGAATAGTTGTTATACATTCGTTCACAAGGGTTTTTTTTTTGCCCCAAGTAAGACTCCAAAATCGATTAAAAATGCTTCTTTTTACATCTACATCTACTGTTTCACATTTTAAAGTACTGTACTTCCCAATATTACAGGATCATCTTAATTTAATGGAACGTGCTTCTTTAGTTTTATTATAATTCCAACAGTCTTGTTTTTTATCTCTCCCATTATATGTTTTACCTTCTTGTGTTCTTTGTTTATCTTTTAACTAACCCATTCTTTTTTATCAACTTTAAAACCTTTCTTCCATTTCTTAACCTTTTTAATTTTAGCAAGCGAATCTGAGTTAGAATCAGAATAAGTTACAAGCTTTCTCTATGTATCACTACCATCCGATATCGGTGAATTGGGTACAATATGATGTCTGTTTTCAACATAAAATATAATTTGTATAGGACTGGTACTAGGTTCATGAGATATTATATTATTATGTTATCTAAGATCAAAATATTTGTTGCTTGTGATTCCATTTCAATTTATGATGGTACTATAATCAAATTCTCGTCTGTGGTGAACGTATTATGAATATCATAAGCCGTCGACAAAATTTTATCTAAAGGCATCATCATTCGTCTAAAGCCACGTCATTGAATATAGTATTGGGAAATGTAATGTCGGAATAAATTGTATGATTTATCTTTTCTATAATAAAAGTACTTGGTAGATCTAGATCATTCAGTGATGTTATATTGATATCGTTACTTATCTCACAATAAGTTTTGTTAGCAACTAAATCTTTAGGTGCTGGTATAAACTTTCTTGATTCTGAATATTAGAAGTTATAACTGAATATCTTCTACAACGTGTATTACTTTATTTGGATCATAATCTGACTTTGGAGCTACATTTATAGATTTTTAGAGTACAAAAATTTTTTTCCCCCGATGCATTCTAAAATTATCTAAAAATATTATTTAATGTAATAAAATTTAAAAAAATAATAAACAAGAAGAAGAAGAATAAAATTATGTCAAAAAAATGGAATTTAACATTTATACAGACCTAAAAACAGATTCTAACTTAACTGTTTATTTGTAAATTCAATGATAAATACATAATTTGTTTAATAATTTATTTAAAGAGTAAAATCTTCAAAATAATCACTAACTAAGCAATAAATTAATAAAAAATATTAAATTGATAAAATGCTATCCGTGTTCAAATAAGATAATATAGTGCGTAAACCTGCTAAGTCACTAATTAGGTTAGGTTAGGCGTAGAATGTGATGAAAAACATTTCATTTAGTAAATAAACGAAAAAAAAACTAAAAATCTCTTTATAATTAGGTAGTTTTTTACATCGTCAAATATTTGACTAAGAGCTTGGGCGCTTTGAAAGGCGCGATTTACCATAGCGCTTTTTTAGATCCAAAAGTCCCTATTGAAGTGTACACATGCAAGCGCGCGCTTCTGAACAACGTCGGACGCGCGCTCTCAGAATTTCGTTGGAACGCGCGTTGCGCCGGTGTCAGCTGCGCGCTTCGCTTGTAGATACATGCACCGCCATTTTGCTGTACATTTGATCGCGCGCTTTGTGTGGGGTGCAGATATCACGTATATCATGGAGATCGAACACTTCGATACAGATTTATTTATCGACGAAATCCAAAAGCGTCCAGCTAAATGGGACATTCAAAGTCCAGATTATAAAAATAAAATATTAAAAAAACGTAATTGGGAGGAAATAGTTGAAACTTTTAGTGACTGTGAAGACAATTTAGAAAAGAAAAAACTGTTGGGTGAGTATAATTATTTATTGATGTTTTCTATAATTATATCATGTTGTTTTGCCACTGTAATTTTCCCTCGTTCACAAAATAATTGGCAAATTTTTCTCTTGCTGTTCTAGCACATAAGCTGCCTCGTGGTAAATTTTCTAAATGTATAGATTTATAGAGGTGAAACATAAAGTGTATCTTCATATCTGTAACCATCGCGCATTCGAACGTAATTATGTAGTACTGTGCAAGCTTTGATGATACTCTCCGCGAAATCTATGTTTACATCTATCGGTCTTTGAAATATTCGCCATTTATTGCTCATTATTCCGAAAGTACATTCAATATAGCGCCTTGCTCTCGATAATCTGTAATTGAAAACTTTTTGTGTGTGTGCGTTGTGTTCCTCCACACGGCCGCATCACATTCGACATAATTCCGAATGCTTCATCGCCGACGAACACATGAGGCAATGGAGTTCTATCGATATTTGATATAGGCTTGGGGTTAGGAATGTTTAACTTATTATTCACAATCCGTTTAAAAAATTCGGAATTTTTAAAAATAGCAGAATCACTGGTTTTGCCATAGGATCCGACATCAACGTATACAAAACAATAATTTGCATCACAAACTGCTAGTAAGACTGATGAGAAGTATGTTTTATAATTGTAAAAAAGCGACCCTGTATGTTCTGGTTGTATTAGCTCAATATGTTTCCCGTCAATCGCACCAATACAATTTGGAAAGTTAGCGTATTTCTTAAAACCTTCTTCTACTTTTTTCCACTTTTCTGTTGTCATTTCAGACATAGATGTAAACTTCAATTTGCTCCATAGTACTTTACAAACTTGTTCCACTATCATTATAATTGTCGATTTTCCAAGACGGTATCCGTAACGCAAATCAGCGAAAAGCAGCCTGTGTCCAAGTATCTGTCAAAATAAAAATGGTTATTGTTTATTTTCAGGTGGTACACTTATGAAAAAATGGAAAAGCATTCGGGACAATTATCTTAGGGAGTCGCAAAAAAAGCTTCCATCTGGATCTGGATCTTCCAAACATACGCCATATGTGTATTACAGGAAATTACAATTTCTTGCGAATTCTACAGCATATAACGACACAGAGAGCAATTACCAATCTTCTGGCACAAATGGTTCAGATGTAGATAATATTATATACAATGCAGACTTGATGCCACCTCCTAAAGATCAAATGGGAGGCCCAAGGAAAAGACAGAAAATAAATGCTTTAGATAAACAAATAGTCGACATTTTACAGAAAAGTTTAAATGCAAGGGAACAAAATGAAATGGGGCGACTAACTAAAGAAGACGATGATAAACTATTCTGTTTATCATTGTACAGTGAATTAAAAAAAGTACCCGAAAATCGACGCTTAACTACAAAGATTGAATTACTCAATGTCATTAAAGAAGCACAGAATTATCATCAATCATTACCACTAGAAACTAAACATCACCAATACGCATATTCTACACATATTCTGGATATACTACTGCTAGACCCTCAACAACACAACAGTGGTCTACCACGCCGCCACCACCGCCGTCATCATGGTCACCGTCACGTTCAGCCTCCAGCCAAGATTCAGACAACTTAGATTTATTTGAATAAACAAATATACTTACCTTAACGTTATCACGAGTTTTTCTTCTGCGGAAATCGAATCTCTCAAAATCGTTGAATCACCAGTAATATCTACTTTAATAACATGGAGTAAGTCATCAAATGATTTTATGGACATTCTAAAATAATTAAAAAACTTAGGTTCATATTGCCTTAATTTTGGATACAATGTTACAAACATTCCATGCGTCAGTCTATCTCGTAATATTGGGTGCACCCAATATTCTCTTTGCCTCTGCCGTCGTCTTTTATAGCGACGGTATAGAAGCCACACACAAGCGATCACTTCGACGTCCATTTCCGAACTGAACTAGTAGTATGGTCACCTTGGTAACGCTCGTTAAACGCCGTGCTAAGCGCGCTGTATGTATGCTACAAGCGCGCGCCCAACGTAACGCCGAGCGCCCAATGTGTACCTACCCGCTCTAAAACACGACTAAATTTGACGCGTTTCAAACGGCATGTGGGTTTGGGAACGTTGTCAGTGCAAAACTAAGGCCCCAATAGGATTCAGCAGGTTTGCGTTGTGGAGATTAGCTGGTGGTCAGAAAGCAGTTTTCGGGCATAGCAAAGAAAGCAGTTTTTAGGCTAATATCACTGTTATTAATTAAAGGTTAAGGTTGAAATTAGACTGAACTTTTTGACTGGTATAAAAAAGTAAAGTTTCCAAAAATGGACTGAATGGACTGAAAACTGAGCAGGAACGAATTAGGTCGACGATATTTTAATCGGAGCTATCGTTCTAAACAATTATTCTAAAAGATTTTTTAAAAGAATGACATCAATGTAATTTATACGTCGCAGGTTTATGGTAAAATTAAGTTTTTGATCAAAAACTTAGGATCTTGATCATTGAACCAGGTTTTTCATAAACCTGCGAGATATAGGTACATTTATTGCCTGAACAGTTATAAAAATGTATTTAAGCTAAAGTACTTATGATTTAGGAAAAACTTTCTTGAAATTATTTTTCAACAATAGAAGTTGAACAACGTGATAAACTTATTAATTCGGATATAGTCAAAGTATCATTAAAAATTAAAAATTATTATAATTAATAAGACCAAAAACATGTACGCTACGAGTATATATGGTCTCTGGTAAAACACGAAGAGTATATAATATGATAATCTCTCTAGTTCAGGTTTTAAGAAAAAGTCTGTCACACAATCAGGATATTCTGCTGTCAAATTCCGCATGTTAATGAAACAATACTTATCGTTATAGTTCACATTCAAAATATGATTTTTTCTATAATGAGCCGTGGTAGCTGAGGGGCTAAGTGCTCGCTGTAAATTTCACAGTACCTACGCGACCCGGGTTAGATCCCCGCCGGCATCAATTAAATTGTTAATTGCAATTTAAATGCTGATATACAACGTGATCGGTGGTAAAGGAAAACATCTTGGGGAAACCTGCATGTCTGAGAAATAAGAAAAAAAAATATTTCGAAGACATGTGAAGCTCGTCAACGCGCATTGGGGTAGCGCGGTGGACATTTCCTCGACATAAAACCGTCTCAGAAATGAGAGGACACCTGCCCCCAGCAGTGGGTCGCATATATGCTGTTACTTCAACTAACTTTAACTATATCTAATCTGAGAGTTCGTTTGAGAGTCTTACCTGTCGCTCAGATAAACCAAGACTTGCCGCCAGCTCGGCTTTGCGCCGGATGGTGATGTATCGGCTGTAATGGAACTCTTTTTCTAACTCTAGTCGCTGATGATCACTGTACACCACCCGGTATTTGTCCTTTGTCCGAGTTTTACCTTTAACAATAAAAAATAATAAAGATATAGAAAAGCTACAACAATTGGAGTTTATAAAGTGGACGTTATGCAATATATGTAGAAAGTATTAGTTTGATATTATAATAGCCAATTCGCCTACCAAACGTAAAGATTAACGCAAAGCCTCTCTAACAGTGGAGAGAGAACCATGTCCGGCAGAGATACCAAATGTTCACTATATACGGGCTAATGAAGGACAAAGAGGAAGCTATAAAGAGTTAAAGACACTATAAAAAGTACCTGGATGACCGAGCTTTCCTCGGTATATTTTTTTTTTTTTTTTGGAAATCGTGTGTTTTGGAAATTTTATTTAGATACAAATTACATACTGATGAAACATGAATAATATATTTTGATCTTATTGACATAATAGAAAAAACTGACCTGGTTATTTTTATAAAACTCCATGAGCAATAGTTTAATTTAAAATTTACGTATTTTTAAAAAAATAGTAAAAAAGGAAACTAGAAAAATAGGAAAAAAAAGTCCGACCGAAGACAGGACGCGAACCTGGGCACTATAATTGAAAATCGTCGACTGCCAGATATCCACTTGAGCTATTACGATGCTCGATTAACACAGTGTCAAAATTTACCTTCTTATATTGTAGCAGTTTTTCATTGTCCGAAAACACGGACAAAATGACATTTTCTAAAAATGAATCCTAGCTAGATCGATTTATTGCCCCCGAAACGCCCTGGACACAAAATTTTATGAAAATCGTTGCAGCCGTTTAGACAAACAGACAGATCGAGTCATGATTTGAATACCAGATCTAGAACTTAATAAGCGTGAATACTGACCACTAAACTCTAAAAAGTCTTGAACTACTACTTTGGCGAACTACAAAGCCTTTAAGGTGATAAACTAAGGGCGTTAATACCCTAAATATTTATTTGAAACCAATGCGCACGTAAACAATATTAATATTCTAGATATAAGTGGAAACCATCGTGAGAGATTGTAGAATTGCTCGAACAAATTTAAAGAGATAATTTTAACATAAACCCAATGGTCAGCATATATAAAATATGCTTTCAGGACGAGGCTGCTATTTTTTAACATTTGTTAAAGCACGGGAGAAATGCTGAGGGTTCGATAAGACAAAACCAAGCCCGGAGAGATCTGAAATGCCGCGCATGTGAGCTTAAAATGGGATTAAGCCTGGACCACACAGTGTGCTGACGGCTCTTTCTTCCTACTTTAAAATATATTATTAAAAATGGTATATTTTTCTTTATTTTACTTACGAGTTAAATCTTCGTAGGTACCTACTGTATAGTGACTGTGAGAATATCCGCTACCCCATTACATCCCGTGGGTGTCATAAGGCGACAGAGGGAAAACAAATCAGGAGATGAGTAGCAGCATCTTCCTAATAACAATTAAATTATTAAAAAAAACTGCGATTGACAACCCGCTTGCCAAGCGTGGCAACTATTGCAAATATGTGGCAAATGAGGCAATTTATATGAGAGGCCTATGCAGTAGACTTTAATATGCTATAATTGTAACGGTTCCTTCGTATACTAATAGAAAAGTATAATTTATTTATCACGAGAGTATATACTGGAGATTCCCAAATCACATATAGTGGACGTAAAATGTTAATGCTAGTTGCGTATACGATTTAAAAAAGAAAACATATTTATCATTTTCAACTCATGCATAATTCTAAAACATAACCTGACTTACGAGCTTATGACCTATCATCTAGGGATCTTTTTTACATATCTGATTGTTTCTAAAAATGTAAATTTTTATTTACAATTTTTATCTGCGTTGTAGATTTCACAACGAGTAAAATTACCAAGATACGTAGATCTGTGTACATATCACTAAGACACCGCTGAGTTGTCTCCTTGTGTACTCAGAGTGTGTAAATATTCCTTATCTCGGTATTAAGAACTTCATAAATTAGGTTTGTCATATGGAAGAGAATCAGCGAGGTGTTACGTAAACTGTGTCGTGTAGGCATTTACATTGTAACCAGACATACCCAAAATCAAATAGAACTTAGAAGTTTGTTTCATAACGAATTGTAATTTATTCTTTGACAGTCAGATTAACTGATTAACAAAGTATATATAATCAGTATGAGTATACTAGGTTAGCCTCGGACATCGTTTTGCTAACAGCATGTAACGATCACATTTGAAAAATAAATTCAAAGAAAAAATCCACTTAACAGTTCGAACATGACACTGAATAACGATTTTGTTAAAGGTTGGAGAATGCCTTTGCGTGGGACGTGGTGTTTACGTGGTAAAGCCATGCTGTAGATATATTATGGTTGTAGCACGAATAGGTCGGCTCGATCAGGGTAGGACCATGCTCTCACAGAATACCAGCATAAAATAGCAGCTCAATTCTACTGTGTCTCGTATGGTGAGTGTAGAGAACCGGAGATCCTTTTTACTGGAAACGAGGTGTTCCATCTTAGTCCTCGGGGGTGGCAACGGAACAATGCGTGATGGACTTCAGCATGCACTTACAATCAGGTGGACTTTGTGCTCGTTTGATACTAGCTTGATCTCAATAAAAGACCATATTATTATAATAAACGATTTTGTAATATGTTTATGGAAAGTCAGTACTTATTAGATATTTTATTGAAATATTTTTATATATCATAATCAAGTATCGAAGGCTCCCTTTAAGATAAAACGATCGTTTAATTCTAGTCCTATCCCGAATAAAAATTTTAAAATAATTATTTTATTAAATAACTTATTAGCCGGTAATAAAAAATAACTAACAAACTACAAATCGATATTTGAAAAGTTGTTTTCATGTGCCCACCTACTAAGGTTATATTATCATTTCTTATCATATATAAATAAAATAAAAAATATTTAATAACCTTAAATTACGAGATATCTTTAATGAAATTTTATACAAAACTATCGTTTTATCACAAAGAGTAAAAATCAACACAGTGACATGTTATTCCGGGTGTCTTCACTCTTCGACCATTGTTTAAATGAACGAACCGACATACCAGTATATTTATTAGTACCAAGATAAACTCTTTGGGAGTGCAAGAATGACAGAAAATTATAACTTAAATAAATTTCCTGTTAGGCGAGCAAACAAAAAGCGAACTAGAAAGGCAAACAAAATATGCTCTATCTATAGGCGATGCAGTGTTTGATAGTAGGTGTTAATTTTCGTGGCAAACGGAGATTGTCCGGGCGCCTTGTGCCCTCACATGTTCATTCTTTACTTTTTTCATGAATTTTATTTGAGGTATATTTTTATTCCGGTTATGAAAATGCATATATTTTATCAAACAAATATTTGCAGCATATATTAGCATTAAGCACAATACGGAAGCCTATTACAGCTTCGTGCGAAAACAGAATAAGATAGATATAAAAGTAATACGAAAAAAATATACTATCAATACAATCACTAGTAAAAAAAAATTATGTCCATATTTATGCTTTATGTTTCTGTCAAATGCCATACATTACCTTACGTACCAAGAACGTAACTGTTAAAATACCTTTTTTTACGTGGTAGTGCTATGCTGCAGCTATATTAATATTTTTTTAATATAGAATAAGGATGAAAAACGAGCACACAGTCCACCTGATGGTGAGTGGATGAAGTGGCCCATAGACGTCTACATTTATCCTCAATTAAGAATCAAAACGCAGGTGCGTTTTCACCACTGAGGACTAAGGTGGAATGCCTCATAACCAAAAAAAGGGTCTCCGGATCTCTACACTCACCATACGAAACGCAGCAATATTAAGCTGCTGTTTTACGCTGGTATTCTGTGAGAGCGTGGTCCTTCCCCGGTCGAGCCGATCCATTAGTGCTACAACTATAATATAGCTGTAGCGTGTTCTACCACGTATAAAAAACAATAATAACAGTATGGTTACTACAATGTTAATAGCGTTACGAATATATTCTTTTATTTGAAAAAAGTTATAAGTGATAGAGCCACACTGCGGCTATATTATGGTTGTAGCACGAATGGGTCGGATCGACCGGGGAAGGACCTCGCTCTCACAGAATGCCAGCGTAAAGTAGTGGCTCCACGCTGCTATGTTTTGTATGATGCATGTAGATGAGATAGGTATCCGGTTCGGAGCCCTATTTTACTGGAAACGAGGCATTCCATCTTAGTCCTCACGGATGACAACGCATCTAGATTTTGATTCGTACCCGAGGATAGATGCAGATGTCTATGGGCCACAGCAACCACTTAACGTCAATTGGACTGTGTGCTCGTTTGTCAACCTAATCCTATAAAAAAAAACACATTTAGATTAACTTCATTTTGTAAGAAGGCTGACATTGTTAGGAAAAGAACACTAGGTTTGTAATCATGGTAGATATCTGTAATAAATAAATTCCAATTGAAATTTAATTTTTTTGTTGTATCCCTTGGGGAAGGCTAATGATAATGATGATGATTTTCATTAATGATATTAGTTAAGAAGTCTCTACTTTTTGTTTTGTGTTTTGGTAAAGATGCATTATTAACACACCTATGTTGTTAGAGCCCAGGCGGACATGTATATAATATGCGTTAAAAGAACCTAGTAACAAAAAATCCTTTTCGCTGGAAAGTATTTAATTTTTTGTTCCAATACCTATACGTTATTTTGCTTATTACTTCGAAGCCTAATACATACATTATTAAAATAATAAAAGTGTATGCAATGAACTTATTTACAAAATAATAGGTCATTTGCGTAATACATCAACGTTTTCGTCTATCACGTCACAAATTACGCTAGAACGTTTTAACAGACGCAATAATATAAGCAAGAATCTTATCACGGCCAGTTAATAAAAAAAAATAGTTTACGCTTAACAAACAGCGAGGGCGGGCGAGCGAGGTGGGACCGGTCCGCGCACTTTTTCTTTATAGGTTATCATGGATAAATATCCTGATAATTGTAGAAAACGTGTTCTTCTGGCCACCACAATGCTCTATTTTTGCACTCAGATATTTATTG